CGCCCCCCCCCCCGCCCTTCCCCCCCCCCCCAGCGGAAAGGGGGGCCAGCCGGGGGACCCAGGAAAGGCTGAGAGCCTTTAAAGAGGCAGCCCATCTGGACAGAGGCCCTCTGGGCCCCTCCTTTGGGGCAGGAGGCTCAGCCGGGTGAGGGCTGCCCCGTCCCTGGGGGGGCAGAAGGATCGTTCCATCTCTTCTTCAGCACCAAAAGTGTCCCATCCCAGGCTCTGCCCCCGCGCCCAGTTCCTCTCCACCAGCCAGCTCAGCTCAGCTCTGACCAAATGACCAGGCAGAGTTTGGGAGGCCCAGCCTATCTTGTGGCCGTGCCCTGGCAGGGGCACCCTCCCTCCCTCCCCAGGACTGGGTGCCCCCTGCCCGCCTGGCAGGCCCCCTTTCCGGGACCAGGTTCCTTCCTTCCCCACTTGGGAAGAGAGAGGGCCAGCCTGCCACCTCCACCTGCAGCTCCTGCCACCCTGCAAAGGGGTAGCTCTGCAGGCGCCTGGCCTGGCCTGACCATGGAAGCGGGCACCTCCCTCCCGTGAGAACAAGCCCCAAGGAGGAGGTCTCTGTGCACTTCGTCTATGGTCAGGGGCTGCTGGGGGGGAGCCAGCTTTGAGGATCAGCTGCCCATGGGGCAGGGAGATCTGATGGGGTGGGAATCAGACTTGGTGCCTCCCTGGCTTGCTTGCATCCCCCCCCCCCGGCTCTTGGCGTGTTTTCCACCCCCAACCCGTCTGGCACCAAAATAACAGCGCCAAGCCAGAGAACTAAGATGCTTTCCACACCTCCCTCACGCCTTGCTCTGGTGCTTATGGGGGGCGGGGGACCTGCCCTCCTTGAGCAATTCTCTGGGGCTTCTGGATTGTAGCCCGGCTGGCAGGGCAGGAGACGTGCCACTCCCGCTCTCCATCCCTCCATCCATCTGTCTGCCTGGCAGAGGGTTTTGGTGTGTGTGGCGGGGGTGGGGGCGCTGAGAGGCTGCCTCTTTTGAGAGCAGGGCAGGCTGGGTAAAGTTTCTGCCCCAATAATTTGGTCACTCGTGTGCTCCCCACTTCCTCGCCTGGGCAGCCGGCTTTCGTCTGGCAGGGCTGCCTTGCTTGGGCCTGTGGCAGCATGCCCAGTGGAGCCCAGGGCGCCTGGGCCCCCAGCGGGGAATAAGGCTGCTGCCCCAGCCCAGCCCAGGAGCCGCCAGGAGGATGCTGGCATCCCTCCTGCAGCTGCTCCAGGACTTCTCTCTGCCCCCAGTTGCCCCTTCTGGATCCAGATCCAGGCAACCCATGCCAGTGGGCACTTTCCTCTGCGGCACCTGCTTGTGCCAGGACAGTGATGCCCTCCAGGCCAGAGCCCAACAGAAAAACACGGAGAAGGTAGGCCGGGGGGGCTGCAGGTGGGATCCTGCTGGGGTCTTCCCAGAGGAGGGGTGGGCAGAAAGACAGCTTGGCAGCGGAAGGGGCTTGACGGCCAGGGTTCCCCCACCAACAAGCAGAGTGGTGACCAGGACTTCCCAGGCGAGGTGGGGAGGCAAGACTTTGGAACATGCTCAGAGGCACTCTTTGTTGGCATTTTTTCAAGTGCAGCCTTGCATGGATCCAGACTCCAGAGGACCCAGCCACATCGGTGGCTTCTGCTGAGCTGGGTCCTTGCTTCTCGGCAGATGGGAGCTCAGTCCAGGGGATGGTGCTGGGCCCACCAGACTCCTGAGACAAGGGGGGGTGACAAGGGACCTCCCCCCACTCTTTCCTCCCTTTTTCCACCCCGCACCCTCCAAGCCTCTGCATCTGAAGAAAACTGTCTTGGGAGGAGGATGGGGTCAGGCAGGGGGCAGCTTTGTACCAGGGATGTTGACGGGGTGCAAAGGAAGGCAAAAAGGCGAGGCAGGGAGAGGGGGACGTACCCCAGGCAGACACGCCGAGGGGACTTGGGACGCCAGGCATGAAGGGAGGACGACGGGAGGCAGGACAGCCGGCTCCAGGGCACGGAGGGGTGAGGAGCAGGACAGAACAGGCTGGACAGGGGAGCCAGTTGAAGCGCTCCCGAGCGGTGGCCGTGCAGAAACCTGCCGAGACGGAGGACGCTCTTGCCCTGCACGCTGCAGCCGGATGACTGGGCGATCCTCGCGGCTCCTCTCCAGCTCTGCAGTTCAAGAGTGGCGCGGCTGGCGGTTCCGCTCCAGCAGGAAAAGGCTGCAGGAAAAGGGCTTCTGCGGTGCCGGAAGGGGAGGGCAGGTTCAGCCACACTGTCCTTGGGGACTGAGCTGCTGGTCGCTCTGAACTCTTAAACCGAGAGGTGTGCAAGGCTTTGGTACCTAACAGCTGGGAAGATGCTTGTTCTGCGGTTTAAGGGTTTCCAGATGTTGCTCCTGCCTGGTGTTATAAGGATGTGCAGACAGGCCGGCGGAGGGGGAAGGAAGTTCTTGGGGACGGTTCCGAGCTTTATTACCTCTCCCAAACCAGTCCTGCAGGTCGCGCTCATCAGAGAGCCGTGTCTTTAGCACAAGAAGCCGGGGTGGCAGTGAAGGCCCAGCCGCACTGGGCAGGGACGGGAAGAGGACGCTCCGCACGGACTCGGATGTGCCGGGCCAGAGGCTTGGGGGCCCGGAAAGTCCTCCAGGGGCTTCCCTCTCTGCCTTGCTACACTCCCTGCCAAGGGTAGGGATTTGGAGCCCTGTCCGGCCCCTGGCCGCGTGGGGCGGGGCACTGTGGGGCAGGAGTGCGAGATACAGGCAGGCTGGCCTCCCTCTTCCCACTTGCCTCCGTCCCCCCTCCCCCTGGAGCAGCTCCCCAGGATGCCCAAAGGCCCGTGGTTCTCCTGGCCTGATCGTCACCCTCGCTAAGCGCACACCGGGATCTGAGGAAGGCGCAAGGACACGCAGGGGGCTCTCCTCGCTCTCTCCCCTGGGCCGTGGGGGCAGGGTTTTTTCCGCCCTCTCTCCACCGCTTGTCCTTGGCGACAGCCTTGTGGTGTGGGCACGACTTTCCCTGTGCGAGGGCGGCCCTGAGGTCCGTAACTCTCCGGGGCACGGTTATCCTTTGCCTCAGAGGGAGGTCAGGATGGCAGTGCCCTGGAACCGGGCGCTGAGGCAGCGCAGATGGACGAGGCACACAGGGCTGGATTCCCACCAAGCTGAGCATGGCGGGAGGGGGAGGGGCTAGTTGCGCCTCCCGTTTCGTTTTTGTAGCTCAGGAAGGCAGGTCGTCCTTGTTGCTGCTGCCATGGGAGCCGACCCGGGCGCAGGACCCTTGACCCGCATGCAAGGGCTGTGCTGCTCCGGAGGCCTTGCGGGGAGAGCCCGCATCCAGAAAGGACTGCTGGCAGAGAGGGCGTGGAGGTGGGGACGGCTGGGGGCTGTGCCTCTGGGGAGGCTGGTGCTTAGAGTTGCTCGTGTTGCCTCCTGCCCCCCAGGTCCTGTCTCTGGGGGCCGACGTCCTCCCAGAGTACAAGCTGCAGGCTCCCCGCATCCATAAGTGGACGATCCTGCACTACAGCCCATTCAAGGCAGTCTGGGATTGGCTGATCTTGCTGCTGGTCATCTACACGGCCATCTTCACCCCCTACTCGGCGGCCTTCCTGCTCAACAACCAGGAGGGGCGCGACCACCGCACCTGCGGCTACTCCTGCAGCCCCCTCAACGTGGTCGACCTGATTGTGGACATCATGTTCATCATTGACATCCTGATCAACTTCCGCACCACCTACGTCAACTCCAACGAGGAGGTGGTCAGCCACCCGGCCAAGATCGCCATCCATTACTTCAAGGGCTGGTTCCTGATCGACATGGTGGCGGCCATTCCCTTCGACCTGCTTATCTTTGGCTCTGGATCAGAAGAGGTACTTGCTCGGACCGGTCGCTCCGCCCGCAGCCGTGGCTCCTCGCTCGGGCGGCTGATGAGAGGCTGTCTGACGGCGGAAAATACTTTGGTTGGGGCCACACTTACCACTTGTCACACAACGTGCGCGTAGCTTTATCATGGGCGTGGGCAGGAAGATTCCTGGGGTCTTTGCTTTTTTAAAGCTAGCTGACAATTAATTTAGAGCTTAGGGTAGCAGCGCCTGCCACCAGGCAAGGCAGGGTTCTCTTTTTCAGGGACCGAGTGGGGTCTGAGACTGAGAGGAGCCCTTGCAGCAGCCCAGCGCCCAAAGCAAGCGCGCTGGAACGCGGGGCGGGGGCTTGAGTTCTGGGAGCCAGATGCTCCCTTTGTCCCCCTCAAAGCTGCATTTCCTTCAGTTGCAACGGTGCTTGACAGGCACTGTCTGCAGGTGGCTTATATTGAGCGAGCGAAGAGGCATCTGTTGGATCTCTGCCTGCAACGACGAGAGGCTGGCAGAGATGCTCAGCAGAAAAGCCAAGCCGAAGCCCAGAGGGCAGGAGGAAGGAGCAGTGACCTCCCTGGCCCCCGGTCTAAGCGGTTCTGCCTCTTCCCTGAAGCTGGCGTCTCTGCCCCTGCCTTCAGCACAGCTGCGCAGCCCCCCTCAGGCTCCCCTGTGGTGCAGGAAGAGACTAGATCTGCCCCCGAGGAAGCTGGCAGTGGCAGAGCGGGTCACGGTGCCCTTGCCCAGTCTGCACAGAGCACCCAGAGGGCCCAGAGAAAGACAGGGAGCTGCTGCCCTCAGGGGCAGGTCAGGCCTTTCCCCCTCCCCTTCCTTGCCAGCAGTGGCTCCTGGTCCTCTGGGCCTGAAACTCGTCGTTTGCCCTGGTTGCAAGGAGAGGCTCGCAGTGGGCAGTCGGAGGACAGGGTGCCAGCGGTGGGAGGGCGTGGGCTCTTACCGGAGAGGGCTGCCTTGCTGGTGGGAGAAGCCGGATGGCACCACAGCAGGGTTATGCCAGAGGAATCTCTGCCTCAGCTGAGCTGCAAAGGCTCCTGATGCCCCAGCAGAGCCAAATGGAGTTGCAGACGCCAGGGCCCCTATCCTGTCGCTTGGAGAGGGCCCCCTCCCTCTATTTGAAGGCATGGCTTCACAGTGTACACGTGTGGGTACTCTCTCTGCGGCCTCAGAGAATTCCCACTTGACAGGCTCGCTGTGAAGAACTCTGACAAATATATTTTGTGCAAATGCTTCCCCCGAACCCTGCGGGGTGGAAATGGCCTGTGAAAAGGGGGCAGGGGGTCCCTGTGACCCTGCAGGGGTGGGCCAGGCTAGGGGGGAGCCCTGGCTCCACCCTGGGGGATTCATACCTCCTCCCCCTCGCTTCTCCCTGCCCAGACCACCACCCTCATTGGGCTGCTGAAGACCGCGCGGCTGCTGCGTCTGGTGCGCGTGGCCCGCAAGCTGGATCGCTACTCGGAGTACGGGGCAGCCGTACTTTTTCTGCTGATGTGCACCTTTGCCCTGATTGCACACTGGCTGGCCTGCATCTGGTACGCCATCGGGAACATGGAGGGCAAGGCCATCGGCTGGCTGCACTCCCTGGGTGGCCAGATCGGCAAGCCCTTCAACGAGAGCACCCACCACCTGGGCCCCAGCATCAAGGACAAGTACATCACCGCCCTCTACTTCACCTTCAGCAGCCTCACCAGCGTGGGCTTCGGAAACGTGTCGCCCAACACCAACCCGGAAAAGATTTTCTCCATCTGCGTCATGCTCATCGGCTGTGAGTGCCCTGGGGCTCTCCCTCCGGGGCGGCTCTGACCCGTCTGGAGGGCGCCCGGTGGGGGAGGCAGATGTGCGGGCAGCCTGCCTTCGGCCTGTGACTCTGGAGAGGGGAGGGCCTGCGGCCCCTCCCTGGACCCTCAGGGTTTGTCTCAGCCGCAGCTGGCCAGGATACGTACGGCGGGTACTCTCTGCATGCTCAGAAGAATTCTTCTCACCCTCATGCTCCCCAAATAGGAAGCACAGCCTTCCTGCTCCCCAGGCCACCACATGGTTGGCTGGTGTCACCCCTTTCCTGAGGGGCCTCAAAAGGATCGGGAGCCGGAGCTGCTGCCCCGATTGGGCATGCGGTGGGGAGCCTAGCTGGTCCTGGGCAGAGCGCGGAAGCTGCGCCAGGCGGGCCGGTGAGCGAGGGCGAGCCGTGCTGCAGGCG